CTTCTTTTACCTCCCAAAAAGTAGCCTTTTTTCAGAAAAACGTCTTTTCCCATATGTTTGTTCTTTTAACAGTGTTTTCAGAAGTACATTTTAAATACCGTTTTCTTGTTTAGGTTGTGGTAAATCATATCATGTCTCGAAGATTATTAAAGCTTGTAATAAAGCCAATTCTTTTATTGAGCAACGTGAAGCTCAATTGAAACGACACCAACAGTCGAGACCTAATGACGATCTCCAGTTCGCATCAAGCTGTTCATTATCCAGATCAAAATCAAAGCGAAACGCATCGGAAACTGAAAGAAAAAAACCAAAGCAGTCTACAGCACTCATACAATATATTACATTACCGGAGTTAATGTCCTCACTTGAGAAAGAATCAGCATTTATTATTGGTCACGAAGGAGATGCTCTCTTGAAGGATATGAGTTTTTACGATCCTAAGAATGGGGATAAAGCACATGGTACATTTACCGAAGGATTTGATGATTTTGATAACACGTCGAAAGCTACTCTAAACTATGGCTTAGAAATAATGGATAAAACAATTTCAATCTTAATTGCTTCAACAGGAAAAAATTGGCCTGACTTATTAGCTTATCATAGTACACGTGAAGAAGCTGGTAATCCGTTTTGTGTGTCGTTGTTTTTCGTTTTCAGTCTTCTCGGCCCCTTTGTTACACTTGTATAAGCACAGCCTGTTTGTCATCGATAATTTTTCTTATGAGTCGTGTTTCTATTTATTTATTTGTTTTTTCTCTTTACAGGGGGCTTTTACGAACGTTTTTTGCTGTATGTTATGGAAAAACAAAAACCAACCGATCCTCCAAACACCGGTACGGAAGAACAGATAAAAGAAAAAATTCAACAACGTGCTCAACAGCGTCGGGAAAAACGAGAGTCGAGAAAAAAGACAGCACCATTCGACCGCACAAAACCATCATTAGCTCAATTGTTTCTTGCACGTAAAGCCATTAATCGTCGATATTATGAGCTAGAAACAGAAGCAGATGCATATATTGTACCTATCATCGAAGATTTGCTGAATGATAAAGGAAATAGCAATATATTGGATGAAAACGAGAAGCCACAGTCATTTTTACCGGAAAATGTCAAATCAGTTACAGGTCAAGATGAAGCTTTAGCTCATCGAGCGGCCGATATTTTGTTGAGAGTTAGTTGTAATGTACAACAAATTGAAGACGCTTTATCAGTATTTCATAATCCACAAATGAGCGGTACATTCACATACGATGTTATTAGTGATGCTTTTTACGATCGAATCCTTCAAGTCGTCGATACCATGTTTGGAGAAGCTTCGCCGCCGTTCGATAAAATCGATGCAACTGTAGAACCTGATTCTGCTTTAAATATTTCGTTAGCTTCAGCTCAAACTGCCGTTAATTTTGTCGGTCAAGTACTATTACCACAACAATTTGCTATGCATAGCTATCAGACAACTGAAGAAGAAACAACACAACAACAACTTTACAATGAAAAATCCATTTTATTCTTGCCGTTTAAATTTTTCAACAAGACATTATTAACCGGTCACAATGGTATTTTAAGAAAATTGGCATCCGATGAAGTCGAAAAGCTACTAAATCGTTTGGTCAGTAAGCAGTTACTATTACGTAATACGGGGACAAATGACAAATTTTTCAAACATCCAAAACAAAATAACATTCCATTTACATATGCAAAATACATCCCGAATGCCCATGAAGAAGCTGCCTACAATCATATATTCGTCACTGATTATCAGTCAACATTGGCAGTTTATAAACAAACATATCGCGCAAGTGAATATTTACCTAAACAATATTATTTAACACCCTTTGGTATGGAACAACTTGAACGACACGTTTGTAAAGAACTTTGTGTTGGTTTTAATGTATTTACTCGTGATAATGAAGCTAAAATCGGTAAGTTTTTGTCTCGGGCTTCTGTCTAGATTAAAAACCTTTCTGAATCTTTTCGAACAGCAAGAAGAAGCATATTTTTAGGCGTGGGAAACAAGAGGACTAGTTTCACTTTATAGTAGCTGTAATATTTGACCTCTCCTTAATCAACATCCTTGTTTTCAAACATTATTTCTCAAGTTGAATTTTTTTCCTCGTTCTAGGTCAAGCTGTGCCAAAAATATCAAAAAGTAAAGAAAAATTCGACGGTAATGCTTACTCAAGAAGCTTTAATTCCTTGCTTTTCTACCAGAAGAGTATTGTAAAGTATCAGAAGCAGTTTAGAAACGTTTTTACCTCGTGCATTTCTTCATTTAGACTAGTGGGCTGTAAAAGTATATGCTGCAGAAGAGAGGGAACCTGTTAAAGCTTTTCAGGCCAAAATACTCTGTTGAAAAAAACAAAAGTCGAATTTTTGTTTACTTTTTTGTCTAGCTTATTCGGAAGAAACGAATTCACGACAAACAAGTGAAACACAAAAAAATAAACAAAACACTAATGGCCGTAAGTGCTGTTTGAAGTTTGAATCCTCTGCTTTTCGCTAAATCTTTTGGTACCTATACTCGAAAGAAATGACTGAAGCTCAATAAAAGACCCTCTCACTTTTTAGCCGAAGAAAACTCTCCTGCCGCAAAACGAAACGTCATTTCTGCCTTAATTTTACTTCGTGTCTCTGAACAATAATCCTGACTGTGTTGAAGATCTGCAGCTAGAGAAAAAACAGGTGCTTCTTTTTCCTTTCCTAAGCAGTACTAACTGAATGAACGTACGTTTTTTCTGTTCTTTTTAGGACAAATAACAACAGCGTGTTGTTCAGCCGACGAAAGCCATGACTCAATTGAACTGACGGGTAAGTTTTCCTTGAGTCGTGAAGAACAAGAAGGATTACATTTCGATAATATTCATCAATTATTTGATGAACTGCGTAAGTCTGTGTTTATTCTTATGTCTATCGAAAAGTTCACGTTGTTTTACTTCTTTCTCACAGCGTCTCTCGTAACAACCAACAAAGAAACATTACCCGAAAGTTTTGTTCGTGCGACTTTATTGAACCGTAGTGATACAACAGCAGACACACGTACGCCGTTTTTTTTGCTATAAAGTCGCAATTGTCTTTAGGTGGCGACATAAAATTTTTTTCTTGGAAGAAAGTTGTTTACTGTATCTTCTCTCCTACCAGTTTTCGTAACAAATGTTAATCGTTCATTTTTGCTTTTTTAGCTCATGTTGAAATTAAGACGTCGGTGCCTCGTTATGCTGATCTGGAAAAAGGAGTCCTATCCGAACAAGCTGCAGCCAGAATAAATGACCCACTCGATGCCAAAACAACATTCTTGTGTCGACAAATATTATTATTTGATTCTATTATCCTTACAAACGACACAATCGTCGATCTTGCACAATTAGACGAAAATTTGGCACAAAAAGCCATCAATTCACTTAAATTACGAAAACTTTTGAAAGAAGGATCGTATTTGTCAATTAATATTGTGGCTTATATTAAAGAAATACCATCCGATTTAGCTGATGAAATATCAAAAAGCCTTTTCTACACGAAGCTTGATGAATGGCCATTTTCGTTAAAAGCTTATTTAGCTACGTGTAAAATTACCGTCCAGTATCTGTCACTCTTATCAGAAGAAGGAAAACAACTATTGAGCAGCCGACAATATTCACATTTGAAACTAACGTAATGAACCAGCACGTATGCGTGGAACCTTTAACTGACCCAGTCGGGCTTCTTTTTAAAAAGTCTTTCCGGAACTTCAACCGTTCAATCAGCGGTGTCCTATTAGAGTCCATTTTCTTGCCTGACAGACTTTTTTGTCAGTTTCTTTGTAAGTAGTAGCCCGAAAAGTCGATCTGAAAATTTTTTCGACATTTCGTTTTTATCTGAACGCCATTAATGCTGCAAGAGAACAGTTATGCACGCAACCACAATGTGTCCGACGCCTTCTTCATGTGAGACACCTCCCCGTTTTGACCGATTTTAGTCCGTAGTATCTTCAATCTCCCAGTTGTTCGAGCGAGCAATTTTATAAAATGACTCATAATTCTCTGTTACTTTTACTGGATCAACTGCAAGCAACTGGACAGTCAACAAGACTTTCCAGTCATTCGCTCTACTTCGTTTATTTTAAACGTCTAACATGGTTAGTTTTTTCTCTCTCTGTGAGTTTACTTTGTTTTCTTCTCTAAGCTATACCTATGTGCCGTGTCTTATTCGTCGTAATTTGTTTGTTTGTTTGTTTTATTCTATAAACATGTATTAGGCTTTTTTTAAATCTCTATTTAGGATTTTTTGTTCGATAGACCTAAATGTGTCCGTATGTGTGTTTTTCGCTGTTCTTATCTATCTTCCTGTTATCTGGTCTGATAAAAAATGAATAAATTGTAATTCTTATTTTTTGGACTATCAAAGAACAAGTTCTGCCTTTCTGTTTATCCTTGCTCGAAGCGGCCATCACACGTACGAGGTCCTAGACACGTTCTTGTAGTTTCAACCATATATTCTTTATTAAGTTTAGATAACATGTCTCTCTACATCGTAGAGCTGACTGACGACCAGCTTTGGCGTTTCCAGTTGTATGAGAAATTTGGTACAAACCTCTCCATGCTTTATCATTTAAATCTTCTTATGAAAGGCCAATCAGAAGAAATAAAAAGTGAGCGAATCAAAAAGATAATGTTAGAAGAATTTGGAATATATTACCGAACAAAAGAAATATTACGTTTAAATGAAATTTTCGAAGATCATCCAGAAATAAAATTTTATGATAAACACGAGGCTTTAGTTCTATTGCAAGAACATCCGCCAAAAGATAGTATGCGAAGTTTTTTATAATAAGCATAAGGAGCAAAACTAGAGATTTCTCAAACATGAGGTGTCGACCCTCGCATGTACATTGTTTTTGAGTGCGCCTTTATCCCAAATGCTTGTTAGCATCTAATTGTTCGTACATTCTGCCACATTTTTAGGCCATTGTTCAGACGCTATGCAAACATATGATCCTCGATGCTCTTTGCAATTTCGTAAGCAGTCTGTATACATTGTTTTTTTACTCACCACTTTTTCGTTTTTTTGGCTAGAAAATGAAGTGGCTATGGATACAGCCGGTTATTCAGTATTACCAGAATATCAAAAAATCGTTCCAAAACGTTTCGAAGAATGTTCATCATCATCTGAAACATCCAGTGGTACGAATCCGATGCTTTACGTAGTACACACACATGGCTTAATTTCGCTTTGTTTCTTAGATGATTACGTGATAGCAGAGGCTCTTCATGATGTCGTTACAAAAATTGGCCGAGTTGGGCTATCATCGCCTGTTTTACAAGTTTCTGGTCCCTCATTAACAACAAGTACATAAACTTACTGAAGCTATTTTTGTTTTCTGATACATTTACCTTTACTTATGTTTCTTTTCACTTTTAGCCTTAGATTCAATAATTCATCATCCACTTTCGTCTTTGTTACCAAGAGGAGCTGTTGTGGCATCGTCTCAGAGTATGCTAAATTTCATAACTATTAGACAATTAAAGCTAAAATTATTTTGTTTATCGTTTACTTTTAGGTCTTCCATTAATGAAAACCATTGACGAAGTCAAAGCAGAAATTACCGAGATAATAAAATTAGATCCTTTGCCACCAAATATTAAAGACATATGTAAAAAAATTCTACTTATTGATTCAGTCATCATAACAAGATCAAGTCTAGAATATTATTATCGTCGATCGTCAGCTAAAAATCGTGACAAAGCATTAGATACACTTGAAAAACGTGGTCTGCTGCGTCGTGGTTTTTTCCTATCCAATAAACAACAAATAACCGAAGCTTGGATTAAAATTCCGCCGGCAGAAATTGATAGTCCAGTAAAACTGATAATACAACCTCGATTGGATGAATTTCAAATTACAGTCAAAGATTATATCGAAAAATGTCGAAAAATCGATTCATCACAGTGGGGGAAATCTTACGTTTCAAAAGAATGTGCTGATCTGTTGGTCAAACCACCATATAAAGCACTCTCGATTCCAATTCATCTTGAATCAATACGAGTACCAAGGCAGAACAAATACAGAAAACTGTTAGAAATAGCCAAGGGTATGCAGCCTCTACTTTTCTTGTGTTTAGCGGCATTCCAAAAACTTAACCACGCTGACATGAGCTGTAAAAACTCGTTTCATCTTTTTTCCTTTTAGAACAGTTTGCTCCACACTCAAATATCCAAGCTCCGTCTATTTCTACATCGTCGGACCAAACTACACCAGTCATTCTCCAGTCAGCAGACGCTTCGATATCTGTATTTTATGAATCAAGAACAACCAGAAGTGCCAAACGTCCTCTGGAGAACGAAAATGATGGAGCTACGGGTGTCAAACAGGCGCGGAAAACATGAACTATGACTAATCTAGCTTGTGTTATTTATTTATGTTCTCCTTATTTACCTCTTCTTCACTATGAATTTATTTTTCTTAAATAGCTTTTTAATGAATAAATATATATATTTTTTTATGTGTGTTTTTCTGTTGCCTAGGCATTTCTCTGATATACAGATGTAGATATTTTTATCAAAAAATAAAGTTTACTAGGTGTGTTAAATCTGCTATGGTTCTTCATTTGTGTTAACAATCTTAATGGAGGTAAGAGCGAGATTCAACTCTTATTTTCCCTACAGCCTCATTAGATCAAGCTACTTTCTATGTGAAGTGCGGTCTTTGCTCTTTGAAAAGTGATACATTTGACAGAAAAATTTTAGTTCTGAACAACTTCGGAGGCTAAAAAACACCTCTTAAAATTACATCTAACAGATTATTCTTTTTCTAAAGAAAAGCTCTAGTTTCTCTAAACTGAACTAGGTATGCAACAGTTACGGTTAACTATCACAGTCAAAAATTCTTGAAAGAAGTAAAAATAA